GGGGAGATTATAATTCAGATGTCATTTTTGTTTAATGTTTTATTCATTGTAACCCTAATTTTAGTTTCATTATTTGATTTGATTTTAATTTGATAGTATGTTTTTAATTTCATTGACATTTTCTCACCTGTAGATAATATCAATTTTTATTTCGTTCCCTTTCATTTTCAATTTTCAGATGGTATAGTAAAAGTAATTTTTAGATATCTTATTTTTTATATTTTCCACAATTAATTTCGTGAAAATATTCAATATGTCTAGAAAAAATTAGAAAAAAAAGTAAATCGACTATGCTTTTCTAAATTTAATTTGAAAATAAATTAAAGACAATAAATATTTGTTTTCGAAGTTGACTTCGGTTAAAATACCATAAATACATGAAATTTTTCATCGAAATTAATTTCACAAAATTTCTATTCCTATTATCGATTGTTTACAACCAAAAAAAAATCAAGTTTGAGAAATAGTACTGTTTTTGGATTTTACTAAATTCATACATACATGAAAATTATCGTGCAAACAAGAAAAAAAATACATTTTCATAATTTTGAGAAAAAGTAATGTTGTCTCCATGAATTTTATTATAAATTCCACAAATTTCAAAAATGAATTTCAATAATTCAAAACAATTTTAAAAAAGAATTAAAATTGAATTTAAAAAATCACTAACAAATTTTCAAGTTTAAAAAGAAATAATAAATAGAGATTGAGTAATATTTTTATTTTGAAATTTATTAAATTCTCTAGGAAATTTCTTCAGGGTTTGATGATGGAGATTAAAAAAATAAAAATACGATATCTAATATTCTTGAGGCGAGGAAAATTAATTTGAGAATCCAAAATAAAATTTCATATTTTTAATGGCATTTAAGCAATCCATAATTATTAATTAATGTTTTATTTTTAAAATATGATTAATAAATCTAGGACGTTTAAAAATAAAATAAATTTTTGTAGACCTTCTTTAATTGAATAAAACATAAAAGAAAAATAAAATAAATTTAGAGAGAGAAAACGTGGGTATAATATTTTGATTCTTTAAATTTTAATGTAATATATTAACTTGTTTTTTGAATTTATGTATATATTAATTATAACCTTGTTTAAAAGTTAGAAGAGAAAATACTTTTAAAGATATTTGACAAAGATGTCTTTGATTTATGAAATATATCCCATCTTATTCTTATCATTTAACCTCCAAAATTTTAAAATGCTTCAAAATAGTCCGCGTTGTTGAGATAAGAAAGATAATGACTTTTTTCTAAGACTTAATTTTATTATTTTTAATGTCGAATGTTAATTTAAAAAAAATTATATATAGGTCTGAAGGAGTATAAATATATCTCATACGACATATATAAAACCCGTAGTTTAAGTAAATCTAAATTTTAAAAAACGTAATTGACATATATTTCTAATCACGAGGCTGTGAGTTCGATTTCCCACCACACATATTGTATAAAAAAAAAAGTAAACCTAAATTTAATTAAAAAGAATAATAAACCTAAATTATATGTAAGTATTGTACTCTGTTTATTATGAAGTAGGTACAAAGAGAAATAAATTAGATATTAAATTTTTTTATCTCTACTAAAATTTGAGCTTTCAAGTTTAAAAATTTTATTCCATATGCCAAACAATATTCAAAATGTAATTAGATATTAAACTTTTTTATCTCTACTAAAATTTGAGCTTTCAAGTTTGTTAAAAAGAAAAAAGGAAAAGCTAAGAAGAAGTTAAATAATAAAAATCTTGATTTTTTATAATTCAACAGTGAATATTAGAATATCTGATGGACTCAGGATGGCAAAAAATTAAAAAGTTAAAAATATTATGTATTGAAAAACAAAAATGGCATATATAAACAGAATAATTACAAGTAAATGAGCAAGGAGAGACAAAAGTTTTGACTCATGTGACCATGTTTGTTAATTGGGATGTATAAAAGATTGATATTTTATTTTTATTATTATTATTATTTTTTTTTTGGAAAGGGCCTTAAAAAAGATGAACATGTTTGGACAAAATTGAGTGTTCATGAGAGGTCAAATATGATTCCAAACTTGTAGATATTACGCCAAATAAAAAATGATGAGATTTTATTTCATTTTAAAATACAAGAGGAATGTAATTCGGATTCTGAAATTTATGGAGTCTCACCCACTTCTTTTTTTATATATATATATATTATGTTTAAATCTACTACTTTTATGATAGAATATAACATTTAATTTAAATTTATGTTCATTCTAAGTCCATTATTAAAATCACATATTTTTTTGGAATTTTAGGATGATAACACGTGTTTATCAACACTGGCTCTATATTATGTACATCAATAATACAAAAAATTGTATATTATCGATACACTTTTTATTAATATATTAATGACACAAAAATGGTATACCAATGATATGCGATAAAAATTTTATAAAAATAGAACTACTTCTGATAATTGTTTTTTCTTTATTTTTTTATATGAAAATTAACTTTTTAATAAATATGATGTTTTGATATATATTATTTATTTTATAAATCAAGAATATTATTTTATGATTTGAAAAAAAATTGAAAATCGAAATAAAAATCAAGAAAATTGATTATGTTGGTTTTAAATTTCTACATAATTTAGGAAATATCGATAAACATGAACGGTTACTAAACGCTTATATTTCTAGAAAATTAGAAACAAATGTTGAGAAATGAAATCGAAGAATATAGATTTTGGAGAAAATTTCTCATTAACATTTTTTACATGATATGATTGTGGCCACTTGTATTTGGTAGGGTAGTGGGGAGACATATATAGTATAGTCTACCACACCGAACCACATATTTCCTTTCAAAGCTTTTTGAGTACTTCAAAAAGTGATATACTTTTTCAACTTTTTCTCACTGAATTTAGGGAGCAACTTTCTCACTTTTTATGTCATGAGACAGAAATAATTGTTTCTCCACTACCTTTGAATCATCTAATTAATTTAATTTAATTCTTAAGAACCATTTATTTTATAAGGGTTATGTTACATTTTAGACATATTTTAAATTATTTAGTATACTTTATCCCCACCTCCCCCTTCCACGTCAATATTTATATTTTTAAATCAAACTATATATAATATGCATACATATAATAATGAAAAATAATATTTATTTTAGTACAACATATAATGAGGTGTAGATTCAAACTCGTGATATTTTGATCGTAAATATATACCTTAACTGGTTGAACTATGTAGGTTGATTTAGAGAATATTGAATAAAGATAAATATAACATGAAGAATAATGAAAAAGAAATAAAACAATAAAAGAAAAATGAATGATCCAATATCATATCAAATTTTAGGTGGATCCAGAGGGAAACAACCTTCAAAACCATACCTGGGCCTTCATTCAAAGAAAAAATGTAAAAAGTGTATTCAATTAAGTATAATTATAGTATGACTTGTTACGAGCCTTCAAAACTCTAAAACTCAATTATGAGAATGAACAAGTCGTACAGTCGAACAACATGATGCCGGAAAGAAGTCCACGACGCTCTGACGATGACTGTCATTCAAGGAGAAAGTTAAACTGAGATGACCCCCAGGTAGGAGGACCTGAGGGCGAGACGAGTCGACAAAACCTAGAGCACCAAGAAGGATTGCCTGAGGTACCTACAATAATAGCCCATGAACAACTCCAAAATCAGTTCGCAACCTTGGAGGAAAAGGTAGAGGGCATGTTTCAGCGCATGACCCAACTACTTCAACAACTAGAACAACGAAAGGCCGGCGAGGTACCCCTTGTCAGAGACCCCCAAAAGGGAAAAGGCCCAGTATAGAGTGATGGTGAAGAATCAACGAACAGTGCAGGGAGCACGCTGAAGTTAGGAGGAAATATTAAACAGCGAACTCAGAATTTCGACTCCGAGGCCAGCAAAAGGACAAAAAGCGACAGAAATCTTCGGTACTGAATGGGGGCAAGAACAACCAAGATAACGAAAGAGCCAATATACCTCGACAAAGACAAATTGGCATATCAACCCAAGTTGTCAGAAAGGCAGCAAAGTCAAAAAAAGAAGGGTTGGGTTCGATCTCGAAGAGCTACTGGATCGAGCCAACTCGCAATTTACAGAAAAAATCATAGGGGGAGAAGGTCCCTCCAAAATTCAAGCTACCAATGGTGAAACAATTCGATGGGTCGGCCAACCCAATAGACCACCTCGACACCTACCGAGAATGGATGGATATTTACAGGGTGTTAGAGGCGATCAGATGTCGGGTGTTCTCGACAACTTTGAGCGGGTTGGCCAGGGTATGGTTTCGACAATTGAAGTGAGGTTCGATCTCGAGCTTCAAGATCCTGGGGTTAGGGCATTTGTGACTCAGTTCGTAGGAGGACAAAGCCGAAGCCGACCCGTGGCTTATCTTCTGACCATCAAACAGAGATCAACAGAGAGTCTTTACGACTATGTGGCTCGATTTAATGAAGAGAAGCTACTGGTTGAAGGCCTCACGGATGCAGTGTCTCTACTAGCTTTCATGTCTGGCATCAGGGATGAGCACCTGTCATTTTATTTTGGGAAAAAGACGCCAAGCACTTTCTCAGAGGCGTTGAGCTGATCCCAGAAATATATGAGCGCCGGAGAGTTCTTCCACTCAAAGAAAAAGCCAGAGGGAAAATGGTCCGACCAGAAGAGCGAGAGGTCTAGGGATAAGCCACATGAGTCGAGATGGGAGAAAAGAGATCGTACTAGCCAGAAGGATCCACCCCGAAAATTCAAGAAGTATACCCCAACTACAGTCCCACTCGGGCAAGTGGTGATGGACATCAAAGACCAAAGGTTGCTCAAATCGCTGGAGAGGATGAAAACACCTCTAAGTAAAAGAAGCAAATGACGATATTGCCTTTTCCACCGAGACCACGACCATGCTATTCAAGATTGCTTTGATCTCAAAGAAGAAGTGGAAGGACTCATCCGGAGAGGATATCTCAAAGAATATGTGGAGGATCCTAAAGCGACTCAAAATGGTGATAACGACAGTAAGTCACCTGCTCGAGAAATCCGAACAATAATGGGAGGTCCGGTAGAGAGAGAATTTGGTAGAAAGAGAAACGCGAGCATGCGAGAAACCAGGGCGAGCCTCAGACAACATGAGATCTATCATGCATTTGTTGCAGAACAACCTGCAAAAATCGAGTTCTCAGAGGATGAGGTGACTCACCTCTTCCACCCACATAACGATGCACTGGTTATCACTCTGAAAATAACCAATGCAAAGGTGCATCGAATCTTGGTAGATGGTGGCAGCTTGGCAGATATCATTTCTCCTTGACAGCTTACAAAGCCATGGATCTAGGAGAGAAGATGCTTAAAAGTAGCCCGACACCACTAGTAGGGTTTGGAGGAGAACGGGTCATCCCTGAAGGGAGAATAGAATTACCGGTGACGTTCGGAAACGGGCCAAACAACATCACTAAAATGGTAGACTTTTTAGTCGTCGACTACGCATCTTCCTATAATGCGATATTAGGAAGACCAAAAACGCACGTGCTCAAAGCAATACCATCTACGTACCACCAGTCTATGAAATTCCCAACACCTGGTGGAATAGGTGAGATTAAAGGAGAGTAACGAGTATCACGTGAGTGCTACTACGCTTCTATGAAGGGCAACGTTAGGATTTCTACTGCAGGTGACCATTGAATTTTTGTGGCTTGGCTTTTTTGTTTTTTCTTTCCCTCGACCAACAAGTATAGGATAGATTTAARATTGTTTGTTTTTGATCTCACGAAATTTAAGATTATGGGTCTTTACGTTTTGATTCAATAAAGTGACAATTATCTACATACTTGAGTACTCCTTATAAACTTTTATGTACTCCTCAAGTAGGGGGCATAATTAGTACATCAATCTACATCAATAGATATAAATTGGAAAGAACAATTAAAGATCTCGAGCACGACCAAACCAGAAGCGAGTCACTTGACCTAGCACGGTTAAAACACAAGATGGAGCAAAATCAAAAGCCAAACGACAGCAACTATAAGTACAAAACCATTAGCCATAGCCAAAGGGTTAGAAACCTATGAGAGGTAAAGACAACAAAATTCAGCTCCATTAGAGTTATAGCCGTAAGCCAATAACTTTTGGTCATAGATAATTGATTGATAATTCTAAAGGTAGCTACAAATAAAGATAATGACAAAACAACAACATAACAACAGCTAGTTCATAGAAGCGATCGACACAGACAAAGTGGCTCGCTACCCTCCTACTCGTCATCATCGTCATCCATGTTGTCAGGAATATCACACTCAGCTTTAAAGTGCTCATGGAGAAAGGAGTAATCAATGTTGGGATGCTAAGTAGAAACTTGACGAAGAGACCAGGAAACGCCACACTCCATGGCAACATTCTGTAAATCAACATACTCCTAAGTTTTCTTGAATTCCCCGACCAAGAATTCAGAGTTGGACAGTTGAGCGTTGGCCTCATCAAGCCTCCTCTGTAAGTTGGCAAGCTCATCTCGGGATTTTCTCTTCTTGGTTTCCAACTCACGTTGAGCGTTCTCCAGGAGGCTATTGGCCTGATTCAAGGAGGAAAGAGCTCGATCCAGTTCCTTCCGAGGGGCATAATTACAGCAAAGGTGGTTGATCTCATCGGCAACTTGACCCGAGAACACCACAGACGATTAAAAACCTGTCAAAGTCAGAAACCGACGTCAGGTGAAAGTGCTACGGCAGGTACTTGAAGCTACAAATGCTCACCTGGTGGAGGTCTCTGAGGCATGTATTGATGCTGTGTTGAAGATTCGACAAGCAAAGATCCGACCCACTCGGATTCTCTAAGCCCTTGCCAAAGGCTAAACGCCATCGCCAGATAAGTTGCCTCGTCGACATCAGCGTTGTATGGACCAGAGAAAGGGAAAATTGAGGCATGGGAGGAGGTCCCTAAATGACCACGAGAGGAAGAGGGAGTAGACGTCCCTTGAAGCCGAGCAGAACGCTGAGGTGCTGCGGGAGGCATTGGAGGCCGAGCCTGTTGAGATGAGGGATCTTCCTCAAATCGGTCACTTCGACGTCCGAGGCCCAATTGGAGCCGGTCCCTGAGTTTCGAGCATTCCGATGGCACTCTCTTTCAAATAAGGAGGATCTCCGTCTCGACATTTCTACAAAAAAGGTAAAAGTGAAAATAGACCTTCATGCAAAATTTGGAATGGTTTGCAGCAATTACCTGGGGGTTATGAGGGGGAGCTAAGCCAATCTACTAGATTTTGTTCCTTAACCAGATCCGGGCCCCAATGCTCGGTATCCGGCAACTAGATGATGGTGTGGTAAAAGTCAAACGCCTTGGTAGTGAGCTCACAATTACAAGGAACTATCAACAAAAGAAGAGAAATATCAGAATAAAGATCTACGGAAAGTCCCGACAGAGCTCGGGAATCTACTTACCTAGCTCCCTACACTCAGTCGGGACAGGAAAATGCAATCCTCTCTCGTCACGGGTTAGCCAACCACCACCAACGAGGAACCACTCGTCCTTCCAATGCTTCACTGAGGAAGGACCCATAACAAGAACCTAGTTCCGAGAGCTAATGTAAAAATGAAAATTATCCTCAAGGCTATGCTTGAGGAAATAGAGCGACATAAAATTTGCCGCGGTTAGAGGTTGTTCACCACCGAGGTAGGACCACAAAATGAAACAACTAATTAAAGTAGGCCACCCGTTGGGAACGATTTAAGAAGGAGCTACTTGATTGAAAGCTAAAAATTTTTGAACAAACAGAGGCAACGGTAAACAGATACCGAATTGGAACATGACTGCATAAAATACAACCTCTCTAGGGAAAGACCCGTCAATACTTTCTCCCAGATTTGGAAGATGAAGGCTAACCTAATCAGGAATGCAGTATTTCTAATGCAAACGACGTAGGTCCCTCACCGTAAGAGTGGAATTATCTACCCAAGAGGGACGGTAAGGCCGAGATCTAGAAGAGGGGTTCGACGATGACCCATCGTCTGAAGAGGTCCATTCAAAGTTAAGATCAAATGCCATGGGGGTAAGGAAACACAACAAAAGCGAAGTAAAGAGAAATGTACCTTAGATGGAGGATGATCGGCACTGGAAGGATTGAAAGGGTTTAAGTAGCCTTCGACATAAGAGCATAGCTCTCGGTCTGATGGTCTTGGACCATCGGTCCGAGGTCTGCTCGGCTCGGTACCCGAGGAACCCGTGATCTTCTCGGGTCCTATAATGATGGGACAACACAATTGGCTTGGACTGATGGTGTTTGACCATGAGACCGAGACATGCTCGGCACAATCCCCGGGGAGCCCGTGACCTCCTCGGTCACGAACCTGGCATAGCGTGGCAAGTCATGACAACTTTATGTCATGAATCTAGCAAAATGTGAAAGGTTAAGTACGATCTGACTATTCCCTGATAAAGCTTTTTATTCGCGCGCCCTAACACTCCTATCAACATACTCCCGAGGAGATGGAGACAAAATCCAAAAAGCATCATCTTGGAAGTAGGGGCAATTGTTATATAAAGGAAAAACGACGAAGCAACAGTCCAGAAGAGGACTAAGGAAGGCACCGTTAGAATCGGACCGAGCCGAGCCGGGCTCGGCCCACGCCAAGCTCGACAATCGCCCTCTTCTGATCTCCACGTACCTTGGGCCTCACAAAGACAAATTAGGACTCACTTAGAAGGTTATGGAACCTTCCAAGCGACTATAAATAGGCAATGTAGCCTAACCCTAAGGTAAGCAAGAATTGCGCCTTAATTACGGTACCCATCAACTCTCTCCCTTTGCTGACTTAAGTATCGAAGTTTGTGTGACAGAAGTCACACCGGTTTAGGTTTGTTCGATTTTGCTGGTATCCGATCCCTTGATCATCGAGTTAGGTGCATGTTTAAGAGAAAAGTCGGGAAGACCAAAATCCACGCATCAACATAATGCATAGAGCTACAAGAAATTTGATAGGAGTTAACCATTATTCTTTTAACCAAATCAAACTTCAACTACCAGACTATTTTTATTATTTTTATTTTTTGAAAAATAAGCTTTGTTTAGTTATAAATTTATTTTAATACGTAGACTAGTCAAAATTAAGTATTACACTAAAGATATACGTATAAACAAATAAAATGATAATTATTTTATTCACTTCACGATGGTGGGGTTCCAAAAGAAGAATATGAATGAATTAAAAAAATAGGTTTAATTTAATACTTTCCCCGTAAATCGTAAAAATATTAAATTAATAAATTAACGTCAGGCGAGCTTCAAAATTAATTAAAAATTAATACATGCGTTTGCCGGGAGTCGAAACCGCGTCTATTGCTTGGAAGGCAATTATCCTAACCGTTGGACTACAAGCGCTAATTGGTGTTTTAGAATAATTAATTAAATGTAACAATCTTTTGCATTCTTTTCCTTTGATTAATTTGCTAATTTGTTTGCTAATTTGAGCCTACTCACAAACTTTAAAGACTTTATAAATTTTTCTTCGAAATTAGAGAGGTTTGAATTCCCACATTAAGCGAAAAACAACTTTCTTGTTCCTTCTCTAGATTAGGGATGAGACACAATAGGAAAACAAAGAGCAATTTAAAAAATATTGACTTTTAGAAAATTGACTGAGATTTTTTAGTTTCAGACAAAGATAAGCTTACATATATATTGAAACATACAAGGGCGGTTCGTGATGATATGAAGCTTTTAGGTAAAATTGAAAGAGAGGTCTTAATATAAGCTTACATCTAAAGTTTTATTTTTTATATATTTTTTTTCTTTTTTCTTAAGCTTTTGAAATTTTTTATTCGAAGCGGCCGTTTATAAAATTTAGTGAATATGCTCAATTAGGTGTGAATAAAATTTTTTTGTTTAAGGGAATTTTTCTGGAGAAAAATACACTTTTAGTTGATGAAGTTTGAAGTAGGTTTCTATTCGACTCTCAAAGTTTCAAAATAGACACTTTTAATTCATGAAGTTTGAGTATGGTTGTAAATGGTCCATGAGCTCATTTTACCATTAGTTGACTAATGTTAAAAAGATGTGACAGTTAAATGGGTAATTGCATTTACTAATTTGGAAAACATATTAATTTAATAATATATTTGTGGGTGATTAAGAATTTCTCTCCTCTCCTCTCTTTCTCTCCTTCCTCTTTTCTAGCACACCTCATTGTCGACATATTCAACAAAATTATAATTTTGAAGTCAGTAAAAAATCTGGGAATTCCTCAAATGTGAGTATGAAGGTGATGAGAAAATTAAGAGCAAGAAGGTCATTAATTGGAACTAGAATTGGAATCAATTGAACAA